GCAGGTCCGGATTCTGTATCTCTGAAAGACTGCCAAAACCAAACTCATTCAAGAGAACGCGCCAGGCAACTCGTTCAGGTTCGACGTGAGCACGCACTCAACAGCAACACTGTATTCTTCCAATCAACAACCAACCGCCAAGCAACTCGTCTAGGTTCGATGTGAGCACGCACTTAACAGCAACACTGTACTCTTCCAATGATAAACCAACCTTTTTCCTAGGGGAAACCAAAGAACATATAAATACATCTTTTGCGACACTATACGGCAAGACTCAAAAACCAACTTGTTTCTAGGGAAAACCACAAATTCCCAAACAAACATCTTTTGGGAAGCTATACGGCCAGACTCCAAAAAGATGTTTCGGGGGTTTGCCCCTAGGAAAAAATTGGGTTTTCGGTGCAAAAATAGCAAATATTCCTAGGGAAAAGATGACCTCGGCCAAAAGACCCAGCTGTTTCTTAGGGAAAACCCAAATAAAATTGGGGGGGAAACTGTACGGCCAGACTCCAAACAGAAGGGTTTTTTTTGTTCTCCCTAGCAAAAATTCGGTTTTCCTGCCCAAAACCTCTTTGCCCTAGGAAAAAATTGCTTTTTTCAACCCCAAACCAACTTTTTGCTAGGCAAAAATGGGTTTGTCGGCCCAAAGCCATCTTTTTCCTAAAACAAATGGGTTTTCAACCGAAAACCAACTTTTTCTGGTGAAAACCAAAAAAACAATCTTTTTGGAGTCTGGCCGTATTGTTTACCAAAATGTTTGTTTTCGATTTTTTGTTTTCCCCAGCAACAAGTTGGTTTTTGCGGCCCAAAACGATCTTTTCCCCAGGAAATTTTGTTTGGTCCAAAGCCATTTTTGTCATACGAAACATTTGGTTTTGCACTGAAAACTTTTTTTGAAAAGCCAAAAAAACATATTTGTGGAGTCTGGCCGTATAGTTTCCCAAAAGATGATTATTTTGTTTTTTTGTGTTGCCAGGAAAAAGTTGGGTTTTCGGCCCAAAACCATCTGTTTCCGACAAGAAGGGTGGTTTTCCTGCCCAAGACCATCCTTTTTGCTGGGGAAAGTTGAGATTTCATTCAAAGACCAGCTTTTTCCTAGCAAAGAGTGTGTATTTCATTTGTTGTCTGCGTGCGTTGCGAATCAGTGTTGCCAATAAGGTTCGTCGAGTGTCATTACTATTGGGATGCGATTCCGCTTAGCATTAATACTACGTATACAAAATTATTTGGATCAGTTTTGGGGTAAATAGGGAGCTAGTACCGCAGGTTTAACACAGACCAGGACGCAGGATATCAAGGTGATCACAGCTACCACTATAAGGTTGTAACTTGAATAAGAAAAACATCGGGGTCAGATTATGGGTGGTACTAAGCCTACCATGGATGGCCTTAGAGCTGTTGTCAGGGCGAATGCCGTTGGCATAAGGGCGAATGACAAGGATACGGTTACGGTTGATGTTGTTTGGAATCAGGAGTCTGTTAACGATGCTCGTCATTATGCTGGTATGAAATACAGGCTTAACCTTGGGGTAAGCATGTGTGTATATCCACACATAGATGTACATACACACATACGGGCAAGTCCGACAACAAGTCCGAGACGATCATATGCTGCAATGACAAGGGGGGTGCCGTAGACAATATGATGAGGTAAACAAAGAAATGCTGGTACCATCCCTCAAATTCTAAAGGCCATCATTTGGGCAACGCCAGAGCGATGACAGCACGGATCGTGGCTTTTACTGGGTATCGTTGAATATTTGCATGAATGTGACGGCTACCACTTTAGGGACTTTGCTCGCTTTTCAAGGCAAAAACCCCCACGGTGCTTGGCGGGGGCACGATTTCCACCCCGATTGACACCCCAGAATATGTGCAGAATCGTGGCAGGAGCGAAGTTCGTCAAGTTGCAGAACAACACCGAAGTATTGGAATTTACAATAATCACATGTTCCTGAGGTCGGGAACCACCACCTTATTCTGCTTTACTCCTATATGGCCAAAATCCCATAATATGACCACGCTGTTTTGGGGACTGTCTCTGTGTGTGCGTGTGTGTGTGTGTGTGTGGTTGTGGGTGGCTGTGTGCCTACTTGCTTTACATAACGTTACACTGGTTTCACAATGTTTGCTACTTGTGCGTGTGTGACAAGCTACAAACCCAAAGTGAGCGTGCCACTGCGTCAGTAAAGCTCACAGGTATGTGACATGTTGACATGTACAAATCTAAGCACGGGTTTTTGGTCGAGTGCGCAGTAAAGATTGGTGTATGAGTTGTCGTCGACTCTGTTGGCTTGTAGTTGCTAGTTCCATTGTGTGCAGCTGCATCCATCAAGCATGATCCCCTCGCAACTCCGACGTTTCATAGTCTGCTCTCATAAAGCCAGTTATCCCGACATAGCTGCGCCAGAGCTCAAGCCGCTGACAGCCTGCAAGCCAGGCCGACTATTTTGGTATATTTTAGTGGTTTTGGGGGCTGTGCGATCGGATGCAGACCCTGCCAACCTTCTTGTTTCTAAAGCCCCAAGCTTGAGCACGAGCACTCGTGGATTTGTCAACATAAAAACCGCTTGACGATCAACCCTTTACATAGACCTTGTGGTAGGCGAGTTGGTCCTTTTCCAATGCATCCGATTGGCGTCGGGAAATCAGCCACCTGCAACAGTGACAGGTTAGTAGTCGGTCAGGAGACAGCTGAGCACAGCATGGATTCATCCTTTTGTGGTCGTAGTTCCCCTCATTGTTCTTCTATTTCAGCATGTAGTGTTTGAGCTGTTTCCCTGGCATTTTCTCTTAAAGGAAGCCATCTTTGACTGTCATTTTCAATTTTCTTCGTGGCAAGCAGAACAATCTCACATAGTGAAGCGGATCCTGGACGTCGACACTGCCATTGATGAGCCAGCTAGGCCAACCTTCTTCAGGCAAATGTCCCTGGCTTCTCCAAAATCCAGCTCCTTTGCTCAGCCTGAGTGCTCATCCACGGCAGTGTTTCTGAAGATGAAAGTGGCTTCTCTTCAAAATTGGTCTGTTCATGTGGAATCTTCCTCTGCAGGCCACAGAAGCTGATTCCTGAGTAGCACCGGCAAGCTCCGGTGTCTAGCGCCCGGCGCATCCATCCGTGCAGCCTATGTGTGACGCAATCTGACTTTCGGATTGGATGATACCATGAAGCCATGTACAAAAGACAATTGCTCCTGGGATCAGAGTAGCCCGCATGTGCTGCACCTTGCCGCTCCACCCAAATGAATAGTACTCCGGGTCTTAGTAGTTGCAAGCAGGACGACATGTGATTTGTTTGGCCAACTGGTGTATGAAGTGATTGTGTCAAGGTGTTGTTGTTAGAAAAGTGCGATCCCTAAGAAGTAGGCGAGCATGTACACCGCACAGCACTGCATGACATGACATTACAATACATACATACAGACGGACAGACGTGCTGACCGGCTGACATGCCGGCATACCGGCCTTCATACCTACATGCATGATACATGCATGCATGCGTGATGATTTACGTATACAGACTTATGTTCTTAGACTTGCATATAAAACATAGTAAGTAGTACACACACACACACATCTCTGTTGTTGCCAGGCATACCTTGTGAATCGCAAAGTTCGTTTCACTCCGCGTGTTTGGAGAGGCCACATCTGCCCTGGATGCAGAATCAGAAGGCATTGTGCAGCAGGCCATCAGCTGAGTCAATGTTCCCAAGAGGGAATATATAATATATAATATATAGTATAATACATTATAATATAATATAGTATTTAATATAGTAGAAGTACACGCATCACGCAACCCAGGCCTTGAACCAGCTCATGGAGCAACGCAGCGGACGAACCTTCATCGTCACTTGGCTTAAGTTCGAGCATAAGCTGTGTCCCTGCAACCTTATGTTATAGGCTTTCCGCTAGTGCACGCAACTTGGGGCAAGAGTCTAGGCTCTGTCTTGCTCTTTGAAGTCGGCCTACCATTGCTGCTCAGAACAGGTAGGACTGTGAGGTGTAGAGGCATATCTGCAAGATCCGCAATCGCTGGATGCTGGCAGGAAGCCCGTAGGAAGACAGGATCTCCCGTTTCACGGTGAGGTGGTGGCTCACCGTTTGTCCACCGTCAAAGATGCAGATCGCATTGTGGGAGCCTGAGCTCCAATCCCGGCCCTTGGTCTCGAAGCGCCTCCTGGGACTTGGAGGGAACCCCTGGGGAAGACGTTGCCCACTTTTTTTCCGCATGTCCTGTGGATAGCCGAAGCATCAACCAGAAGTAGAACGCTTGCAAGGGTCCAGGCGAATTAAGTAGCACCGGACAGGAGACCGATTTCATGCAACCTCGCTTCTCCGAGGTTGTTCTCAGCTCTGGCGAGTGCGTGGAGACGGGGAGTCACGAGGAACTGCTGGCGAAGGGCCAGGCCTCACCGCAAGGATGCTAGTGTAGGACCGTCTCTTGATGATTGTCTCACATCCTTTCTGCTTAACTCTAACTGCGAAGCTGCGCTAGCATGTCATAGCACTGTGCCCCGAACGCCGTCTTCGAGCACACTCCAGGAGCCACCGTGGCTTCGGTATGAAAGAAGTTTGCTCTCGGAACTCAAACCTGGAATCGGCTGGCACACTGTCAAGTCAAGCACACTTCACTAGCTAACTTTAACACTGGTATGAGAGTCTTGTGGACTTGAGAGCCTTCCGCGCTTCACAGCCTCTTCGCTGAAAATCACGCCATATCCGGACTTGCTCCCTAAGTTCCTTTGCTCTTCCGCCCTTGGTCAAACCGTCAGCTATCTGATGACGAGTTGGAACCCAGAGGGGACCTGTCTTCGGCATGTCTCGCGTGCTGAGCATCTGACGGAGAAGCACCGCATGTATGGCGCTAGCCTTATCACTGACGTGTTGCCCGTCCTTGTGAACCGTATGAGCTTCTGGCTTCAGGGCCAGGGGTTTTTAGGGTTTGGAGGGGGGCTTCAAATAATAATATTGTGGGTGCCTTACGGTTGACCATGAGCAGAACGGAAGCAACAACACAAACAAAAATCCGCGGCCCTAAAACATGTATTAAAGAGACTCCCCCCAAATTTTGGGTAGCGGCTGGAAGAAGGCAAAAAACGCATTATAGAGGCCCACCGGTTTAAACGAGCCTCCACATTACAGCAGCTCGATCTCAGTCTTAGGCCAGCACGTTCTCCGATACCACTACCGGATTGATCCTGTACTTTTTTTTTGGCTCCTCGCGCAGGTGTACAAGGACCTGGTCCAACGTCAGCTTGAGAGGACCTGAGTGAACTCGGCCTGGCTGCATAGGGCCAGGGCGACCGTGATTCAGTGAAGCGTGTAGATAGTGACGTTTAAGCTCTCAATGTCAGGCATGCTTCGGTTCATTTTCGAGCGACACCCCCTTGGGGGTGTTCTTTGCCAGCGGAGTGAACTTGTCAAGCTCCGGACTGCTCAAGGGAGGGTTGCAGTTCACACCCGACCCAATAAGGTAATGTAGGGCCCAGTTACACAGGCTATTTTTGCGAGTTAGGTACGGTGCCTTCGGTTGAGCAGACGCTCTCGTGCAGCAGGATTGATTCGATCTCTGATTTTCCTTCGCAGGCAGGCACCACAAAGATTGCACGCAGGCCTGTGTTACCCTGCGAGATCACCGATGAATGACATACTTCTTGAGCACTGCGTCTACACAGAGCTACGATGTTGAGATGTTACGATGATCACGCATGAGACTGGTCCGTACAGGCGAAGTCAGACCACCAGAACAGATGCAGTCCCTGGTACAGATCTTGGGCAGAGGCCAAGCCAGCAAAGCTTGCTCACACTTCAGTATGCCAGTGGCTTCTCTAGAATCTGCAAGCTGGCATATAGCGTGCTTGCTTGCTTGCTTGCTTGTTTGTTTATTTGTTTGTTTGTTTGTTTGCTTGTGTGTTCGTTCGCTGACTGTCGATCTCTCCTGATTCGTTTGTAGACTCAAGAACTCTTTTGTGTCGACCAAGTGAAGCATGTTGCTTACCGACTTTCTTGCACATCGGTCCAGTTTGCATGGGTCAAGGAGTCAGTCGAGAGTAGTGTCGGGTTGGGGACAAATCGTGCTACTTCGCATGCATTCTGGCTGGTGCCGCCGACACATGTGTCTACTTGATAGCTTAACTACCACTCAAGAAGCTGAGACCCCAAAGTGCCTGTTAACCGGACCGCGCCTCCTGTTTGGCTTGCTATAATACAGTCTTGTTGGATTCTAAAACCCGTGGTTGGTACTTCTCGTTGTAATCACGCTCTCTATCGTGCCACTCATAAGGTGTGCACAGGAACCTATGCAGAGCATCAGAAGGACCTATACTGCGGCCGTTGGGGCTCAATCTTGGCGAGTTACGTCTGGAGACGATCTCACGCACAGGCACTCTTGTGAGCATTCTCAGGATCTGCAGGATTTGGGTTGACGGCTACAGCGACCACGGATTTTGGTTCGGCGCTAGGGTCATGTGTTGAGAGTGTCGGCTAGCAGCGACTCGGCTTTGTGGGTGAGTCATTCCACGGATGACGCTTGAGCCTGCAGCTTTGAGGGTTGGCACATTGGGGTCTGAACTTGGCATCTTGTAGGTGCACGGGCATGCATGAGCTTGTACAGTCAGTTCAAACAGAAGTTGTAAAGACTGACAAACACAAAGACACGACAAGAGGTTCGCTGCTGAAGTGTAACAGCAGCAGCAAAAGAAGAGAAGCCCATAACACGTAGCCATCATGGTGGCTCAGAACTGCTTTGACTGGCAATGCTCCGAATCCAAGTTCTGACCTGTTTCTTTCAGGCGGGAGGAAAGCACGCAAAGGCTGCTGCTGTGGTAATGGAACAAGGCGAGAAAGGAGAAGGCAAAGGCAGGTGCCGCGATACCACCCCATTTCTCTCAGTCCCTGCATTTTTCAGATGTAATTACTGTGCACTGTCCTTGCATTTGCGTGGCCTCATTGCATCGAGTCCACGGAATGTGTCTGAAGTACCACGCGGCATCCTGCTCTTGCATCCTGCTGTCCTGGGTCACGGCATCCTCCATCCTAATATTGGTATTGTAGGCAGTCCGTGCGCGACGGTGATGATTTTGCTTGTGCTGGTGTCGTCAGCTCTGTGAGCGTGTGCAATGAGATTGGGCTTGTGCTTGTCTTGTGGCTGCGGTTGTAAAATAGTAGGAGGCCTTGTTGTTGTTGCTGTTGTTGCTGCTGCTGTTGCTCGCCTCGTGTATTCTTGATGTCATTGTTGCAGCTGTGGCTGTCATGACGAAAAGGTCGTGACTGTCGACGACATTGCATGACAGGTGTGTTCCTTTCGGCATTGTTGCTGTGTCCCAAACTAGTCAGTGTAAATGCATGACGCAAGCTATTGCTGTAAATGTCGTGTTCCCCTGTTTTGTGGCGCCGCCCTGGCATTGGTTGAACGAAACATGCCAAGATTGATTGAGAATGTTTGCCTGGTCCCACTCCAGGATTATCACACGACTGTGATCGCAGCAAAGTCTGCCAAAGCACTCTTGGAAGAGCATGAAAGGTACGAGCTACACTTTGCACAGCAGTGCTCGCATCACTTCAGTCGACCTGAGGGCTGATTCAGAGAAAGCGAGGCTCCAGTGCGCATACTGCCAATCCTCAGCCAAAGACCTTCCGAGCCCCACTGAAACTTAGCTCCCCATCCCAAACCCCTACAAACCCCCAAACTCGCGCAAGAAGTGCCGCAAGGCGGAGGCAAAGGTCGCAGACGGCCAGCCTCCCGCGGCCGGCCGAAGGCTTCTTGTACGGGTTTAGGGTCATTCGAGTAGTGCTTAGGGCTTGATTGGTGATCGGAAAATGATAAGGAGTTAGCAATACCAAGAGCTGCCAGATTCCACGGCCGGTGGGGTGCTGGATTTCTGTGACTTCTGGGTGTTCTAGAAAGTGAAAGGATAACTTACTTACATAGACACATCCGTGGACTCAGGAATGCCCCAACCCAACTTGCCTCCACACTGTGTGCACCGACCGCTGAGTATTTGGTGAATAGTGTTTCTTTGTCTCTCTACTTGTCTCTCGCTCTATCTCTCTCGCTCTTGCGTTGTTGCTCGCTTGTTATGGATAGATTCGGATAACCGATATAGATAACGTATGATAGCATGTGTCGATGCTTCGTGCCAGTGCGTGTCAGTGCGTTTGTTTCGCAAGGCCATTTGCGTGAATCTGTGGCTTGCTCCGTATGGAAGCACGGCCCTAAAAATCTTTGCAGCCTTTGAGCCCGACCCCAATTCCAACACCAAAGACGAGGAGCCCCAACCCCTTACTCCAACAAGTCGAATAAGCCCTAGTTGCAGCAACTACAAGCCCTAGAACCCGAAAGCCCCAAGGATCCATGAGCCCGAAGGCCTTGAATCCAAGCCCTAGAGACCCTGAACCCAAACCCCTAAACCGCTAAGCCCTCAAGCCAAGGCCCTTGAAACTCAAAGCCCCGTGCGCCCTCTTAGTCCTCAGCCCCAATCCACGAGCCCTAGCCCTTAAGCCCTAGAAAACCTTAACCATCACCCCTAGGCCCTAGACCTTAAACCCCAACTCCTAAAACCAGAGACACACTGGTTAGTTAATCACCCTGTTCCTTACAGGATTCGTCATAATTTTAGCAAACTTTGCACAGAAACCGGACCTAGCTCTACTAAACCCTATCCCTAAATCAGAGAAACCTTAACCCTAAATCAGAGAAACCTTAACCATATATCAGAGAAACCTTAACCCTAAACCAGAGAAACCTTAACCCTAAACCAGAAAAACCTTAACCATATATCAGAGAAACCTTAACCCTAAACCAGAGAAACCTTAACCCTAAACCAGAAAAGCCTTAACCCTAAACCAGAGACCAGGAGGCCGAACCGCCGAGCCCGCCCGTGCGCCGCAGCTCCTCGGCCCCTGGGAGACCTCGCGAGGAGCCCCCGATCCAGGCGGGGCCTTGGCCTTAGGGTTTAGGGTTATAAGGCTAGTTTCTCGTATGAAAGTGCATATTTTTGGTATTCTTAGGGCTATAAGGCTATTTTCTCGTATGAAAGTGCAAACCCCCAGTACTATAGTATAATGTATGCGGGTGATGTGCAGTGCGGTTTTATGCTCGGTGTATCATATGATACTGCAGCCGATGCATCCGGGTTTTACTGCGCTAGATCAGGTTATATGACGCGATGTTAGTGTTCAGGATTGATCATGCTATTTGCATTCTGTTATGTTATACTTATCGACCGTGTTTTATGGTATGAATATACCGTCACCGTGGTATGATGGTGTATTGTTCTGCACCGTACATCTTGCATGCTTCGAGTGTAAGTGTATATGATATCTGTTTATACATATATATACATATATATATATATGACAATTCTTGCGCATGCTAGGCAGTCCCCATGGCGGTTTCTGCTTGACTTTGTGTACATCTACATGCCCTGGATATCCAGCCTCAAGACATATGGACATCAGCTCTCACGCACCGGTGTTAATGACATAAGAAGAGCCTTCGTACAAGTTCGGCGTGTGTGTGTGTGTATACATAGGCACATACATATACATAATTCTACATGCACATACACGTATGTACATATATGTAAGCACTAACATTGTCCTGTAATCACACGCCCGCATACATACATATGTGTGTGTGTATATATGTGTGTATATATATACACATATAGAGGGGGATGTTTCTGCGCGTGTTCATTTGCCTGTGTTGCCTGTGCACGCCCTACTGATTGTAGTCGCTTCTACATGCCATGAAAAGCCAAATGCAGGCAAGTTACCCAGGGATGATTCCTCGAACCTGAGGGGAAGCGGCAGCCAGGTGCCAGCAGCCGAAGCCTCCAAGCCAGGATCATATCCGAAACCTGACAGAGCCCTGAAGCCTGCAACCTGAGACAATTATTGGTAACATTATTATTAGTATCATTATTAGTACCAATATGACTAGTATACTTATTATTACAATGAGATTCGATTTTATCATCATCATTATTGTCATGAGTATCGTTATTACCATCCCGTTGAGCCGTCAATCCTTGACTTAGGCCGCTAACCTTCTGCAGCCCCACACCTCCCTATCAAGACTTCGCAGAGTCCTGAAACACCTCCCAAAGAGCCTACCCTAAACCCTAGACGACCCTAAACCCTAATGTAAGCTCAAGGAACCGGCGGGGCCGAAGCGCCGACCTCGCCGGGCATCCTCCACCGCTTCGCGGGGAGCCAGAAGGTTCCCTCAATACTTTGGGATTTAGGGCTTGGATGGGTTTATAAGGGTCCATTGTAAGGCTTTGTTGTGAAATTCTTCGGTAGGGCCTGTCGAGGCTCATCAGGATTTGGGGTTTGACCTGGAGGCTCAGGACGGTGGGGATGAAACCGAGACATCATTGCTTCAGGGTGCGGTGTGCTTGAACCTCACGATAAGCCTCAAGCCAGTGTGCGGTAGCGATACTGTCTGAAGCAGTTCGCACTCGAACGTGCCCACGGGTGTATGTTTGATGGCTGCGCCCTTTAGAGCCTCTACAGAATGTCTCTGCAAAACGTAAACCCGAGACACGTAAGCCCCTGAAGCAGACACTGCAGCAAGTTGTTACACTTGCTGCATCGCTCAGATCTTGTAGCACCGTACTCGTGTTGCTACACAGCTATTTTTCTCGTGCAACTAATTCGACCTTGCTACTGCATCGCCTATACCATTGTGATTGACACGCACCATTCCGCCGACAAAGTACTAGTATACTGTTGTACTGCCTGTGTCAGATTTGTCTGCAAGTGCAAGACTTCAACGACGTTGTTAATAACAAGACTTTATACTCACACTGCTCGGCGAACAAGAAGAGTTTCAGAAAAGGGACCCTAACATAGACCCCAAGTAGCACGCCAAAAGCCTAACCATCCCCATGAGGGGTGCCCTCATATACCAGAATATTTTATACTGTGCTATACTTCACTTTACTATACTACGCTATGCGATACTATACAGCTACATAATATAGTGCTTTCTAACAATCAATATATATATATATGTATATATATATATGTAGGTATATGTACATATATATATATACATACTTATTATCACGAGTTGCCTACAGGCCCCCTCGGACAGAGAGGCCTCGGGCGAATTGGGGACATCCGGAAGGCCCGAGCATTATATATATATACACATACATACACGGATAGACAGATAGATAGATAGATAGGGTTTGGGGCTTAGGGTGTTCCGGGTCGGGGATTTGTGGTTTGGGATTTGTGGTTTTGCTCAGCAGTGTTATTCCTTGCAGGTTTCAATGATTCAGTGGTTAAGTGTTAATTAAGATTCACATGAGAGTCGGTGCTTTAGGGTTCATGGATGTGTAGCTCGGGTCAAAGGGTTTGGCGCTTGGGGTTTCATCTGCCAGTTACTCCACAGGGATGTCAGGACGTTGCATCCGCTTGTTGCAGGCTCAAGTTGGGTTACGCGCGTGGGATTGCTCATACAGCGTGGGCCCAATAGACCTTTCGACTTGCAACGGGATAGAGGTGCACTTCTCCCGAAAGCCATGCGCTTCCCCCAAATTTTATTGGGTGCAGATGTGTGTTGCTTTGTGGCGGCCAGGGAAGAAGTTCGAAGAACTTGAAGCAGAGTCTCGAGTCGACGGTGCCCAGACTTGCATATCTTGTGCACTGAAGGTTACAGTGATGGTTGCGTCCGATCCACAGCTGTAACTGGCTGTAACACACACACACATACGCACACACACACACACTTGATGAGAGAACACTTTCCCAGCCCAGGCGTGGTCGTGAATGTCGGTGATTATGGTGTCTTTGCTGACATCGGCTACGAACAGAATGCCATCCTGGCCATTCCTCGTAGGCCGGACCCTTTTGGCGATGCTGCTGTTGCCGCACTGTCTCTTGCCCATGTGGTTGTTGCAAAGAAATGATGCCACCTTCAAAGATTTATTGCTAGGGGCAACGTGCATAGGCGTCGGTCTTGGAGAACTTGCATTCTGTGGTTGCCGAGCTTGTTCGCTCTTTGCCTAGCCTTACATGAGCCTTACATGAAGGTTTTGGCGCCGATTTCGACGTGGCGATGTGCTGGAGGACCGCCGCAGTGGGCGCATTTGTTGCGGCCTCTCTGGCCGTAAAACTGTGTACCACAACAGCAAGCATGTGGCTCGCAACTCATGGTCAGTATGCAGACTGCCAGAATCGTCTCCGGAAGTCATGACTGTTCAGAATATGGTCGAGCATGAACTAGCTGTCGGAACCTGTTGCGACAGGCCATGGAGGTCGTCTCTGTGGATCTTGAACTCCGACGCGCCACTGTGACAGTGGCGGACCGGGGGTGGACGGTGACAACAGCAGCATTAAACTTATAAACTTCTGAAGCCACGCCGAGATAGGGAAGTGTAGCTTGCGAGAGATGCAGAATGTGAAGGCAGCAGTCACTGCTCCTTGTAGCTTGTTTTCGTTGCTCTCGCCCTGCAGGATGTCGAAGAGGCACTGAAGCCGAGCAGAATTCCGCTGGAGGACCGGAGTCCACGAGTATGCTTCATTGTGCCTCAATTGTACAGGAGGATGGCAACATTGTGACAGACAGCAAACACCAGTGAATGTCCCCAGTGGAATACTTGTGGCAGCTTCTGACACCCTGAGGAGCTGCAGGAGGGCAGCTACTTGAACGGTGTAGTGGACACCAAGAACCAGTCCATGAGCTGCACTGTCAGACTTGCCTGGGTTACTTCTTTACGCTGTGAATGGGTTCAGCAGTGGTTCCGTCGCAGCAAGTGTTCAACAGGTTTGGTCTTGTGCGAAACCCTCTTGATTTGCAAGGTTTGGCATTTTCATCAATGTGGGCTGTGAAGCCTGCCACGGAAAACTCCAGCTCCCGCGCTTCATGGGCAACCAGCTTATCCGCGGACAGGCCTGAGCAGTGTGGTCGCTGTTGCAACTGCATGCGGCACTCGGCTGGATTGTATGCACGTGCACGCACACGCACACACGCACACGCACGCACGCACGC